CTTCTTTTTTGTTGTTGTTGTTGTCAGATGTGGAGCTTGAACTCTGGGCCTGAATGCTGTCTCAAGGCTAGCACTCTACCACTTGAGCCACGGCACCACTTCCAGTTTTCTAGTGATTAATTGGAGATAAGAGTCTCACTGACTGTCCTGCCTGAGCTGGCTTTGAACCGCAGTCCTCAGATCTCTGCCTCCTGAGTAGCCAGGATTACTGACATGAGCCACTGGCACCAGGCTACATGAAACTCTTATGGCCAATTAACCACCAGAAAACCAGAAGTGGAGCTGTGGCTCAAAGTGGTAGAATGTTAGCTTTGAGCCAAGAGAGCTCAGGGACAGCTCCCAAGCCCTGAGTTCAAGCCTCATGACCAACAGGGGAAAAAAGGAGCCAGAACCAATGCTGCCATGGAGATGAGCCGGTACTGGGCCTGATGGGGATGGACAGAGGCCAACAAGGTCTGGTGGCCATTTTTGGAGGCTAGTTACTTTGGGAGTGTGTTGGAGCGTGTTAGTTATTCCCTTGTTGCCACCACTCTCCATCTGCAAAAACAAGAACAATGATAGTGGCTGTGCCATGCCAGGGGTTACTGCAGGTCACGGGTCACACAAATCAGATGCTAGCCAGGGTCTGGGTTAGACAAGGGACAGTTTGCATTTGGAGGTGGTCAGTGATCATGGCTGTGACACATCTACCCAAGTTCCCCCCACCTGGAGTATTGAGTAAGTGGTGAAGTTGTTCACAACAAGATTGGGCGGAAGAAATAGGAGCGAGGTGAGAACTTTAGGCCACTACCTTGTTGAGTGGCTCTTCCCCCCACACACACCACCCACTCTGCCAGTCTCAAAGCAGGACAGAGAATCAGATCCTCTCAGACAGGCTCCTAGGCTGGGAGCCATGCTGTTCTCCTTGGTAGAAAAAGCTGGTGATATCTAGGCTTCTGCAAGGACATGAGGGGACATGCTCACCAGGCACACCCTGCTGCAGTTGCAGGAGGCAAAATAAATGTGGACAACTTAAGAACATGGGGCCGGCCGGGCATGGTGGCTCAAGCCTGTAATCCTAGCTACTTTGGAAGCAAAGATCAGGAGATCACAATTCAAGGTCGGCCTAGGCATCAAAGTTTGCAAAATTCCATGTCAACCAATAACAGGATTCTGTGGTTCACACCTGTCACCCTAGCAACAAAGGGAAGTACAAATAAGAGCATCACAGTCCAGGCTAACTTGGGCATAAATGAAGACCCTATTTAGAAAACAATCAGCACAACAAAAATGGCTGGTGAACTAGTTGAAGTCATAGAGTTTCTGCTCAGCAAAATGAGAGCCTGAGTTCAAACCCTAGTACCACCACGAACTAGAAGCCAGTGTCCCTGGGGCTTGTAAATGCACAGCCCAGACTCCAGCCTCCCTAAGCACACACAAGGCAATGTGGCACCGTGATATCATGAACTCAAAATAGTTTGTAAGAAAGAAAATAGTATTTGAAAAGGGAAGGAGGGGGCTGGGAAGGTGGCTCAGTGGTAGAGTGCTTGCCTTGCATGCATGAGGCCCTGGGTTCGATTCCTCAGCACTACATAAGCAGAAAAAGCCGGAAGTAGTGCCGTGGCTCAAGTAGTAGAGTGCTAGCCTTGAGCTGAAGAGCTGAGGGACAGCGCCCAGACCCAGAGTTCAGGCCCCATAACTTACAAAAAGAAAAAGAAAAGGGAAGGAGGGAGGGAGGGAGAAATGGAAGAAGAAAGGGAGAGAAGGAGAAGAGAAGGGAAGGAAGGATGGAAGGAAGGAAGGAAGGAAGGAAGGAAGGAAGGAAGGAAGGAAGGAAGGAAGGAAGGAAGGAAGGAAGTTAGAAGGAAGGGAGGGAAGGAAAGGAGGAGGGAATGAACGGGAAGGGAAGGAGAAGGGGGAAAGGGATTTTCAGTGTGTTTCCCAGCCCAGAGCTGCACAGGCCAGGAAGGGAAGTGTGTGTGTGTGCGTGTGTGTGTGTGCGTGCGTGTGTGTGCGTGTGTGTGTGTGTGTGTGTGTGTGTGTGTGTCTGGGGATGTCTGGTGATCTGGGCCTGCTGATGGAGCCTGAGTAGAACGAAGGGCCCCAGGCAACCACCCCCGCCCCTCCCATAGCCTTGTCTCTAAAAGATTAGCAGCAAGTGCTTCAGAATCGGATGCAGCTGGGCTTGAATCCCAGCCCTGCCACCCGCCAGCTGTGTCCCTTGGGACTGGGCTTTCCCCCTGTGTCAGGGTTCCTGTGACCTCCATGACAGGACAATGAGTAGATCAGAGGCTTCGACAGCAGAAAAGTCTCAGCACAGTGCACAGCACAGGACAGAGCCATCATGCAGCCATATTCCTAACTACTAGTAGCATCCCAGCACCCCCTCTGAAGATTTCCAGAGAGCTCTGGAGTAGAACCCCAAAGTATCAGCGACTTGCTCCCTGGAGCAAGAGCACTGTAGGTCTCGCATAAGAGTGGGAATCTGTGTGCCAAGTTAGGACAAAAATCTCAGGTCCATTTGGGGTTCTCTGAGCATCCACCAGTGAGCAAGCACCAGACAGGCCCTAGAGGGCGCTAGTCTCCAGAACGCCAGACCTGGTGAGGACCAAGTTGGGCTTACAGGACCCTGAAACCCCTCCCAGCTAGACAAGCCACAACCCTGGTTGCAGACATCCCTCCCAGCTGCCCTAGACCCCCCCCCCCGCCCCACCTCACATCCTCCACCCTGCGCAGCCATCCTGCAAACCCCTGCCCAGTCACCTCCCACTGGAAGAGGCCAGCTTCTAGGATCTTGCAGATAGAGACGGTAGCATGGCAAAGGCTTTTACCATGACCTCTGGAGGGCCTGTTCACTTGTCCCACTGGGGGCCCAGTTCACCCAGTTGTCGGCCCATCCCCAACCAGCCCTACACTGCACCGGGGTTTGTGCCACCAGACCAATGGGCAACCAAAGGGCATCACATCCGTGCAGCAGAATAGTATTCAGTCATGGAAAAGGGATGAAATTCTGATGCCTGCTACAATAGAGATGAACCCTGAAGACATTAGAGTCAGGGATATAAGTCCGTCGGAGATATAAGTCAGTCAGAAAGAACAGATTCATAGAGAGCAGACTAGATATTACTGGGGACTGGGGTGAGTTGGGGATGGAGGGTTGCGTGATCTTGATGGAGCTCCTGTTTCCACATCCAGGGGGCCTACCCCCTCACTCAACAACAGGAAGAAAGTTGGGCACCAGCGGCTCACACCTATAATCCTTGCTACTTGGGAGACTGAGATCTGAAGATCATATTCAAAGCCAGCCTGGGAAAGGAAAGTCCATGACTCTTATCTTTGATTCATCAGCAAAAAAAAAAACCCAAAGTGGAGCTGTGGCTTAAGTGGTAGATCCTTGAACAAAAAAGCTAAGGGAGGGCTGGGAAGGTGGCTCAGTGGTAGAGCGCTTGCCTTGCATGCCTGAGGCCCTGGGTTCGATTCCTCAGCACCATATAAGCAGAAAAAAATAGAAGTGGCGCTGTGGCTCAAGTGGTAGAGTGTTAGCCTTGAGCTGAAGAGCTGAGGGACAGCGCCCAGAGGAAAAGAAAAAAGCTAAAGGACAGCACCCAGGCCCTGAGTTCAAACCCCAGGACCTGAGTTTAAGCCCCAATACCAACACAAAAGAAAAAAAAGAGAAAAAGAAAGAAGGAAAGAATAGAAAGAGAAGAGAGAGAAAAAGGAAGGAAGAACTAAAGGAAAGCAAGCAAAGAAGGAAGGAGGGAGGGAGGGAGGGAGGGAGGAAAGAAAATACAAAGGAGGCTTTCCCATGGCCAACCCAGCTCACTCTCCTGCACCTCCTCTGTGGTTGTTTGGGGGTTCCTGAGGGGCTCTTAGCAAAGGAAGTCACAAGCTGTCCCTCTGTGCCCACAGGCCCAGACCAGAGCCTGGCCTGCTGTGGCGGGCAAGGTGGATAGGTAGAAAATGTCACAAAACTCAATCTGGTAACGACATATGACTAGGAGAGCAGGAAGAACCAGAGACAGTTAGGCAAAGAGGGATGAACAGGGCCCTGGACAAGGAACACGAGAAATGCTCACAGCAAGCTCTGTGGATGCCAGGATGAAAGGGTGTGCTGGCAGAGGCCTCAGACCTCCATACCTGGAGCAGAAGCCTAGCCAGGATTCTATGATGCACAGTGTCTCCTCCTTCAGCGTCCAGAACATGTGGGTCTCAGGACAGACCCTGGTGCCAGGCTAGTGGCAGAGGTGACAGGATGAATGTCATACATTCAGAAAGGCATAAAATGTGTAGCTGGAATGTCAGAGAAGGCACCAGTGTGTGTGCCCCTAGTTGACAATAAAGCAGCTTCCAGGGACAATGGGAAGGAGGAACTGATGGTTCCAGCCAGCAGTAGAGGATGGTAGATGGTACGTGGCATGGTACACGTTGCCCAGTTGAAAGCATTTAAGACACCATAGTGTCTGCATCAAACTTTGCTGTAAAACTCCCACTCTTGGCCTCAGTGTGCTATGTCTATAACTTTCTCTGCTTCAAACTCTTCTGAGTCAAGAATGTCCCTGTTGTAAGCCAAGCATGGTGGCACACGCCTATAATCCCAGCTACCCAGCAGGTGGAAATAGGAAGATCACACACAGTCCAAGCCTAGCCCACGCGAAAGAGTAAGACCCTATCTCAAAAACCAAACTAAAACCCAAAGGGTTGGAGGCAAGGACCAAGCAGTAGTGTTTGCTCGGCAAGGCCTTGAGTTCAAATCCCACCCAAAAAAAATAATGTATCCCAGGAGTAAATGGGGTGGGGGGGAGGGGAGGGGGGAGGTTTGGGGATGAATATGCAAACAGATGCCTCCTAACACAATGGGGGAGAGAGAGGTGAAAGACAGGGAGGAGACCTGCAAAGTCTGAGGTCCTCATCTCCCCTCCACCAGCAGGGGGCAGCCTCAGGCAGGCAGGTACGGATCGGTGGGCTGTGCCCAAGCCCCTACTCCCCCTTCTCAACCAGTCCATCTTGTTTTCCCTGTCTAGGCGTCCCTGGACGGCGCGGGAAGCCTGGAAGAAGAGGTGATCCTGGTGAGTCCCAGATTTACTGAGTTCCTTGGCTCGACTGGGAAGGCTGGTGCAGTGGGTCAGTTCCTGGGGCTGGGCTGCCAACTCCCTGTGCAGTACAGCGTGTGTTCCTCACACAGCAGCTCTCTGAGAAACTACCCAGGCTTTATGTCCCCCAATCGTCCAGACTTCCAGAAGCTGAAGGCTGTCTGGCTGAGCTGCTAGAGTTCCCTTTCGTGTAGATGAGTGTGGATCCTCCTGCCCTCCCCTCTCCGCATACCTGGGTCATCATCCGTCAGTTCTTATTCTCTATCCTGGTAAAAAAAAAAAAAAAAAAAAAATTTCCTTGCCTTTTACTGTACGCTTGCTGACCTCTTTTTTGGAATGAGTTGAGGAATGCATACTCCTGTTTTCAAAGGCAAAGCATGATATAAATAGGCTACTTGAAAACTCACTAGAAAATGAGCAATAGATCTAAATAGACATGCAAAAAAAAAAAAGGAAGCCAGGTGCCAGTGGCTCATGCCTGTAATCCTAGCTACTCAGGAGGTTGAGATCTGCACGGTTCGAAGCCAGCCTGGGCAGGAAAGTCTGTGAGATTCTTATCTCCAATTAACCACCAAAAAGCCAGTGTGGTGATAGTGGTAGAGTCCTAGCTTTGAACAAAAAAAAAAAGCTCAGAGACAAATGCTCAGGCCCTGGTTCAAGCACCAGGAACAGCACAAAAAGACAGGAGCCACACATGGTGGTGCATGCTTTTAATTCCAACACTTGAGAGGATGAGGCCAGTGGTTTACAATGGGAGGCCCAGGCAAAAAGTGATCAAGACCGCAGCTCAATCAGCAAGCCAGGTGTGGCAGCACACACCTGTGATCCCAGCTACACAGAAGGCTTAGGTAGGAGACAATGATCCGGGATGCCCTAGGCAAAAACATTAGACTGTGGGGTGGTAGGGAAGGAGTCAAGGTCCTGGAATGCAGCTCAAGTGGCTACCTAGCAAGCATGAGGCCCTGAGTTCAAACCACAGTACTTCAAAAATAATAATAATAATGATGATGAAAGCTTATCATCTGGGACAACATGCTAGAACCAGAGATAGTGATATTCATTCATACAAGCGAAGGACACGGGCAGAACATAAAGTTGATCTCAGCTGGGTACCAGTGGCTCACACCTGTAATCTCAGCTACCCAGGAGGCTGAGAGCTGGAGATTGTGATTTAAAGCCAGCCCAGGTAGAAAGTCCATGAGACTCTTATCTCCAATGAACCAGCTGTGGCTCAAGTGGTAGAGCATAAGCACAAGCCTTGAGCAGAAAAGTGAAGGGACAGAGCCCCGGCCATGAGTTCAAGCCCCAGGACCAGCACCAAAAAGAATTCAAATGCAATGGGTTTGATTTTTTAATTAAAAACCAAAAATAAAATAAGGAAAATAGTTCTACTTGCAAAGAATATGAAGAAGGGCTGAGAAGGTAGCTCAATGGTAGAGTGCTTGCCTAGCATGCATGAAGCCCTGGGTTCAATTGCTCAGTACCACATACACAGAAAAGACTGGAAGTGGGGCAGTGGCTCAGGTGGTAGAGCGTTAGCCTTGAGCAAAAGAAGCTCAGAGACAATGCCCAGGTCCTGAGTTCAAGCCCCAGGACTGGCCAAAAAGAAAAAAAAGAAAAATATGAAGAAGGAGGAGGAGGAGGAGGAAGGAAGGAGGAGGAGAGGAAAATGCTTTGGGTCTGGGAAAGTGGCTTAGTGGTAAAGTTCTTGCCTAGCACCCATGAAGTCCTGGGTTCTGTTTCCACATAAACAGAAAAAGCCAGAAGTGGCACTGTGGCTCAAGTGGTAGAGCGCTCTCCTTGAACTGAAGAGATGAGGGACAGCACCCAGGCCCAGAGTTCAGACCCCCCGACTGACAAAAAAAAGAATCTCAGGGACAGTGCCCAGTGCCCCAGCCCTGAGTTCAAGCCCCTAGAGTGGCAGAAAAAAAAAAAAAAAAAAAAAGAATAAAATCCTTTGGAATCAATTTTACAAGAGAAGTGGAAGATTTGTACACTAAAAACCATGAAACAAGCCAGGAGCTGGTGGCTCACACCTGTAACCCTAGCTACTCAAGAGGCTGAGATGTGAGGATTACAGTTTGAAGCCAGCCTGGGCAGAAAAGTCCCTGAGACTCTTATCTCCAATTAACCATTCAAAAGCCAGAAATGGCTCTGTGGCTCAAGTGGTAGAGGGCTATCCTTGAGCACAAAGAGACCAGGGACAGCGCCCAGGCCCTGAATTCAAGCCCGATTTAAAAAAAAAAAATTGGAAATATGTAATGAAGGCATAAGCAGTAGAGCATCCCATTTTCATGGATGAGTACAGCGTGATTATGGCAGTATTCCACAGGTCTACATACTCCATGCAACCCATTCCCAAAGCTCAGATGGATTTTTTTGAAGAACTTGATATTTTGATCCTAAAATGAATAGGAAAACACAAGTTCAATGAAATGTAAATGAGCCAATCACCTGTAATCCTAGCTATTCCTGAAGCTAAGATCTGAGGATCAAGGTTCAAAGCCAGCCTGTGCAGAAAAGTCCTATTAACCACCAGAAAACCAGAAGCAGAGCTGTGTCTCGGATGGTAAAGTGCTAGCCTTCAGCAATAAGGTTCAGAATAGCACCCAGGCCCTGGGTTTAAGCCCCAGGATGGTACACACAAATAATAATAATAATAATAATAATATCCAAGAAGCTTCATATAGGATAAATGCAAAGATAATTCTTAGTAAAATGCTGAGAATCAAAGAGAAAAATCTTAAAGCAACAGAAGACCTTGAGAGAGTTGACACTGACTCTCCCGTCCCCAGAAGTGGAGTCCAGAAAATAGTGGGGTATAGTCATGCTCAACCTGCAAACTTGGATTCAAAGCCTTTGGCCCAGTCTGCCCTGAGACACACCACTGAAGATTCAAGTGGTGGGGATGGGGTGGAGGGTGGAGCCTGGGCTGTGTGGGGTCCTCACCTGGCTGAGTGGGAGGGGCGGAGGGCCTGTCCCATCCTTGGGTGAAGCAGGTGACAGACATGGCCAAGACTGAAGGTGTGGAGCTGTGAACTGGGCCCCAAGGCCCAGCTGTGAGATCCACTCTTCCTATCTGGCTTCCTTTGGGCAACACTAGGGCTGGGCATGGGCGTGGCCTCTCAGAGGGGTCCACCCTCCTCTGCTCATTGGTGAGCTTCGAGCCCGCAGCTCCACTCCCATCTCCTTCCCTTGAGGTGCCAGTGGGCTCAGCTCCCAGTTTGGAAGTGGAAGAAGGGGATACGGGTCAGGCCATCCGGGCATTCCTGCTCAGAAAGCGAGGCTGCTCAGGGTCCCCAGCCAGCCACAGGGACGTTCCCCCCCCCCCCCCCCCCCCCCCCGCCACAAGTGTGTTTTGCACCTAGCTCTTCTGCACACATCTTTCAAACATGTGTCCCAAGGCTGGAATGTGGGAACCATTAAATAAGAGCCAGATGACTGGGAGATAAATGGAACCATCTGAGGATATGGGGGGCTCCACTCAATGAAATGGGAGTGGCCCTGAAAGTCCATATCCTTGGACCCCCACCACCTTACCCCTTGCCCCCTCCAGCTTGAAAATACATTGCGGTACTTAATACTCCTGTCACCCCTCAATCTCATTCAGCAGTGCTCCTCCCTGACTGAGCCAACCCCCCACACACACCCTGTCCCCCCCAAAAAAAAATTACCCATCACTCACCACGCACCAGCCCCACACACCCCCTCCATCATGGCTCATGGCTCATAGGCCTCACATCCTACTGTTTGACGTGTGTACCAGTACTGGGACTTGAACTCAGGGCCTTGAGCTCTGGCTTGGCTTTTTGCTCAAGGTCAGTGCTTTACCACTTGAACCGTAGTTCCACTTCCGGATTTTTGCTGGTAAAGTAGAGTCACCTCACAGATGGTTTCTGCCCAGGCTCACTTCAGATTGCCATCCTCAGATCTCAGCCTCATGAGTAGCTAGGATGACAGCTGTGAGCCATTATGCCGGGCTCCTACATCCTACTTTATTGGAAGTCAACTCTCCTGGACTCTCAGAACCTCAACCACACTCCCAGATGACAGGCAACAGTGCATCTGCCCATTGGCTTTTGCTTTCTTTGTAAGACAGACACCCCAGCGTATCCACGCTGCCCACACCCTATCTGACGTATGAGCTCAGGGGAAAGGCAGCCCCCCCCCCATGTCACTATTCTTGGGTATCAACTTTTCAAGTCAGACATCTTTGCAATCTCTCTCCTTCCTGTAAACAGCCCACCCGCCGCTCAACCAATCAGAAGCTGTCTCCCCTCTCTGACACAGGTCCCTTCCCATCACCACCCTCGCCCCCTCTGTCAGCACCTGCACAGGACACCTGCAGGCCATCTCCAGTTCACTGTGGCTCCCCTCCGGCCCCTCTGCCACCCAGAAGCCACCAGTGGCCTCTGCTGTCCTTGCGGTCAAACCGTCCCTACCCGGACCAGAGCATGAAAAGCTGGCCCCGTGCGGGCTCTGCTCACTCCTCCTCCATCTTTGTGCCTCCGCTCCCTTCCCAAGGCCATTCATTTTCTTCCCACTCAGGACTCAGCCTGGGCCCCTTGTTCTGTACCTGGGGTTTTCTGGACTTCCCCCAGCTATGGTTTCTCTCCGCGTCCCTCTCTTCCCTCTCAGACTCACTCCTGGGTTCTGCTTCTCACCCCTCAGTGCTCCACTCCGGGCTCACAGCTGGCTACCCACAAAGACTCCTTTCCCAAGTTCCTGTGGAGGGTGGTCTCACTCTGCCAAGTAAGCTTTCAGATGAGTGATGTGGTTTGGCACATGCCCGCCTTAGTGGAGAATGCCATCCTGTGGCATCCACGGGGCACTGGTTCTCCTTATGAACACCAAACTCACAGATGCTCAAGACCCTTATGTAAAAATGGTGTCCTGTTTACATATAACCTGAGCCTTCTGGATACGTTCACTCGTCTTTAGATGACTTAGAATACCTAATACAATGTAAATGTGATAGAGGGTCATAGTAGCACACACCTGTAATCCCAGCTCTCGAGGAGGCTGAGAACTGAGGATTGAGGTTCAAACCCAAAGGAGTTCCCCTATGTCTCTTTCTAGGAGAAATGAGCTGACCCATACACCACAACTTGTTACTCAAGCAAGTACAAGGTCTGATTTCTTTGCTCAGGTCACCAGGAACCAGCAAGAACAAGCACCAACCAGAGAGCAGTACATTTGGGGACTGTCATCTCCAACCACATGGCCATCCAGACCCCCCCCCCAAGGGCTAAGGTGCCCCCTTCTGGTCTGCAGACTAGGCTTTGGAGCTTGCACTTGTTTGCGGGGTTAGGGGGCATTTTTTACCCCCCCCCAAGGGCTAAAGTGCCCCCTTCTGGTCTGCAGACTAGGCTTTGGAGCTTGCACTTGTTTGCGGGGTTAGGGGGCATTTTCAGAAAACAACTGTGACCCCATATGAGAAGAGGTGGCCACGGGCTGACAAAGGGATTCTCTCTGCCTTCTATTGCTGATGGTGGCCTCTCTGCTTGTGTTTTGCAGGTCCTCCTGTAAGTATCCTGGACTTGGTGTCTTGTTCCTGAAAGATAAGACGTTTACTTGACTTTTTGTTTATCTCCATAATACTCCCCATGAAAATAATTTTTGATGGGTGGGCCTTTTAAATAAAAAAAAAAAAAAAACAAATTTAACCCATGCAGGGTGCTAGTGGCTCACGCCTGTAATCCGAGCTACTCAGGAGGTTGAGATCTGAGGACCACCATTTGAAGCCAGCCAGGGCAGAAAAGTCTGTGAGATTCTTTGAGTAATCAGCAAAAAAAAGCCAGAAGTGGGGGAGTGTGGCTCAAGTGGTAGAGCACCAGCCTTGAACAAAAAAAAGCTAAGACCCTAAGCCCCTGAGTTCAAGCCCCAGTACTGTTACCAAAAAAAATAAACTAAAATCCACTCCAGACAGGGTTGTATTATTTTTAATTGGTAGATGAGTGCAAGCATAGAATTTCCCCGGGCTTGACTTGTTCACTAAAACATCCTGGACCAATTCCTTTCAAAAGAGCTGGCACAAGCCTGGCTGCATTCCTCTTTGGCTCAACTGAAGCTCTCTAGAAACCCCAGCATCAGCCCATATTTTGGAAATTCTCTGTAGCCATTGATATTTTTAAATGCTTTTTTCTCTCAGAAAAGACTGTGGAGTCAGGCAGGGGGGTTCCCAGAGTAAATTAAGCTTGAGCACTAGATCCTGCAGTTCCTTTTTCTTTCTCTGTCAAGATATTTCACTCCTAGCTGAGGCCTCTTGAACCTAGTTGGCTAGCGGAGTTGTTCAGATACCACCTGAAGGAAAAATGTCACTGCATTAAGAAGAGAGTTAGGAGCTGGGGGCCAGTGACTCACACTTGTAATCCTAGCTACTCAGGAGGCTGAGATCTGAGGATGACCCTTCATAGCCAGCCCAGGCAGAAACATCCCTGAGACTTATTTCCAACTAATCACCAGAAAACTGGAAGTAGAGCTGTGGCTCAAAGTGGTAGAACACTAAGCTTGAGCAGAAAAGCTCAGGGGCAGCACCCAGGCCTGGCCCTGAGTTCAAGCCCCACAACTGACAAAAAAAAAAAGCCGGGGGGCGGGGGCGGAGAAGGAGTTAGAGAACTCCCTTGAACTTCCCTGACTAGCCATGGACAGCTTCAAATTCAGGGGATCCCAGGACCTAGGGAATCTGTGTTCTCCAGGGCACAGGATGGGTCTGTCTGCCTTTGATTCTTCTTGGCAGTTTTTCAGAGCCCCAATAAATCCCGATGAATCCATTCAAGAAATACATTGACAACTCAACTTGAGCCAAAAGGCACCTTCCAAAGGCATTCTTTGCAGATGAGCTGTGAGGTTTTATTGGTTGTTTTCTGACTTCCATTCCATTCACCATGATTCATTTCCCGATCAACACTCTTTAGATTCTGGGCATGTAGCATGCATGTAGCCTGACTTTGAGCCAAAAAAAAAAAAAATCAAGCCAACTAAAATAAGGAGATATATCAGCCACAGCAGTATTTCTTGCAAAGTCATTCCTGGCCATTCTACCGAGCCAGGACAGTTCAGAGGACAGGGCAGTGGTTTTTATTTTTCCTAACTTGTTTAACTGTTAAATAGAGTCAGGCACCTGTGGCATGAGCCACCGATAATCCTAGTGATTCAGGAGGTTGAGACCTGAGGACTGTAGTTCAAATCTAGCCCAGATAGGAAAGGCCGTGAGATGCTTACCTCCAATTAACCACCAAAATGTTAGAAGTGGAGGTGTGGCTCAAGTGGTGGAGTGCTAGCTTTGAGTGGAAAAAAAGCTTAGGGACAGGGACCAGGCTCTGAGTTCAGGTTCCAATGCTAGCACAAAATAATAATAATAATAATAATAGATTAATGGGTACAGTTTAGAAACTCCCCAGTTGTAATAGCAAGGACATGGAGGGGGGAGGTCGATCCATGTATATAGGATGCTGGCAGAGGCCATCACTGCTCCGAGCAAGCCTGGCCTGGGTGTGGAGATAGACAAGCCGCCAGGAACAATGGATGTCTCATCCCTCTGTCTCCAAGGTGCACTTTCCCAGGTTTCCCCAACCCATGGGAGCCAGGTAGGAGGATCCAGTACCTTCTCCAGCCCCCTATTTTTAAGCAGCATTTTTACCTCCTGCTATATGCCCCCCCAAAAGCCTTCTGGTGACCCGCAGTGTATGACCTGGTGGCCCTGACGAAGGCCCACAGCCCTGGATCCATCACACAACCACGCAGGGCATGGTGGGGGTGGGTGGGTGCAGGGGTGCAGGCCCCGACCAAGGTCTAAGTGTTACCATATGGTTCTCTGTTGAAGGCTTGATTATTAATGACCTATTAATTACCACAGGGGCAATCGGGACGAGATGGCTACCCGGTAATTTGTCATTTATTTTTATTTTTTGCTCTACTTGTCTTGTCCTCTTGAGCTGATATTCTTTGCCTCTGAGCCTCCATGACTGAACTATCGATCCGCTCCTCCTCTCCCCCTCCCCCCCCCCACGCCACTTCCTCCTCTCACCAGAAGTAGCTCACCTCTATGAAAGGAAATAGCATAAGCTCCATTCATCCTGCAGATGCCCAGGGCTGCTCTGTAGGCAAAGCAAAGAAGCTTCTAGAAAGCGTCTCTCTTCTTCCAGCCTAGTGCATAAGCCTCTGGCTGTTGGGTACATCCTGGTTCATGCGCTCTTTCCTACCCCCACCCGCTGCATCATCAGGACCTGGACTCTGGCTGGTTCCAGTGTGTCCTTACCCCTTGAAGGTGTTTTATTGTGTTGCCAGAATTCAGCTTCCGCGTGGAATACACGTCCTCCCTCAGGACATGTATCGTATCGAAGGCAAGAAGGAAAGGGACCCTGCCACCACCGAGTCCTGCAGAATTAAGGACCATCACAGTAATACCTAGCGGTCCCAAGAGCAGGGGTGAGGCCAGCAGAAGGGAGAGTGGCAGGACCATCACATGAGGGGTATTATCCTGTGGTCTCGTAGTGGGGTGACTCACCCTCTCTGAGCCTTGCGGTGCTGATGAGGTACTGAAGGCTTCCTGCACAGCATTGGAACTGGGACTAAAAGAGACAGAGGGGGTGACAGCTAAAACACAGAGTGGGTCACAAACCCAGCCTTCCAAGACTTTGTGGAAACTTGGGGCACGGACCACTCTCCATGAACCTCCTGCTGAGAGCAACCCTGCATGAAACCCAGCAGCAGGCAGCCTTTCTCTCAGACCAGAAATGTCTGGTTCTGGGTGAAATCAGATGAAGTACAAAAGCCAGGTGCCAGTGGCTTCACACCTGTAATCCTAGCTACTCAGGAGGCTGAGATCTGAGGATCAAGGTTCAAAGCCAAACCCAGACAAAAAGAGTCTGTGAGACTCTTACCTGAGGCTGTGGTTCAAGTGGCAGAGCACCAGCCTTGAGCCAAAAAGTTAAGTGAGAGTGTGAGACCCTCAATTCAAGCCCCAGTACCTACACCAAAGAGAAAAAGAAAAAAAAGTAAGAAATGAAAAGGGTAGCCATGATCTTCCTTCACCCTGCAAGAATGGCAAAAGTAAGCCACTGACCCAGTGGCTTCTCTAGCTCTGGACATTCCAAAGGATGTTGGCTGTTTATGGAAATTGTTCTGTTAAGAAGAAAGAACTACCCAGAAATTAAAAAAAAAAAATAAGAAAAAGTGGACTTTTTATGGTGCTGGGAATGAAACCCAGAATTCCATGCATGCTAGGCAAGCCCTTCACCACTGAACTATAGAGCCTCGAGATCTCAAAATAATTTTTTTTCCGGTCATGGGGCCTGAACTCTGGGCCTGGCCACTGTCCCTCTGAGCTCTTCAGCTCGAGGCAAGCACTCTACCTCTTGAGCCACAACACCACTTCCAGTTTTCTAGTGGTTAACTGGAAATAAGAGTCTCACAGACTTTCCTGCCCAGGCTGGCTTTGAACCGTGCTCTTCAGATCTCAGCCTCCTGAGTAGCTAGGATTACAAGCATGAGCCACTGATGCCCAGCCAAAAAAAATTTTTTTTTTGGTCCGGTTGTCGGGCCTGAACTCTGGGCCTGGTGCTGTCCCTCAGCTCTTCAGCTCAAGGCTAGCACTCTACCACTTGAGCCACAGCACCACTTCCGGCTTTTTTCTTTTAGCTTATGTGGTGCTGAGGAATCGAACCCAGGGCCTCATGCATGCAAGGCAAGTGCTTTACCACTGAGCCACCTTCCCAGCCCCAAAATAATTTTTTTTTTAATAAGAGCTTTCCTGGTTCTGGTAGCTCATGTCTGTAATCCCATCTACTCAAAAAGCTGAGATCTAAGAATCACAATTCAAAGCCAACCTGGGCTGGAAAGCCTGCAAGATTCTTATGTCCAATTAACCAGCAAAAGGACAGAAGTAGAGCTGTGGCTCAAGTGATAGAGCACTAGCCTTGAGCACAAATGCTCAGAGATAGTGCCCAGGCCCTGAGTTCAAGCCCCAGGACTGGCACACACACACACACACACACACACACACACACACACACACACACACACACACTGGAAAGCAGGAAAGGATAAGAAATTCTAATCTACTTAATATGTATTTATAGATTTTGGAAAGGAAAACAACTTTGAGAATGTGAATGATCGATTTTAGGAAAACATTTTGTTCAGGTTTTAGGTTGGGAGTTGGTGCTTTGGTTTGTGGCTTAGTAAATTTCAGCAGCAACCTCGGGAGGATTGGGGCTACTTCCCAAAAGGAAAGAGGAGAAAGTACAGAGTAGAGAGAAGAGCGGGGGGGATCCCTGAGTGTTGTGTTTTCTGGATTCTCCCGCCAACCACGAGCACCTGAGCAGCCCTCTTCTGGTCACAATATATGCACATCAACTGTAAACATTGTGAAAAAGCACAGAAACAGAAAAAGTAACAGCCCTACTCCTGCTGGCCACAGGTAGAGCACCCCCATTACTGTGCCTATGGAGGTTAGCAGCTCAGCACTTTTACATGACATATCACAAGACAATTCCACATCAGGACTTCCATAATATGCATTGACTTACATACACACACAATCAGCTGTATGCGAACTCCAAGTTATATTATTTGGACTGATAATTTTTCATCCGTACCCATCCTGGGAATCAATGCAGGCTTATTTCCATGATTATCTCTGCAGAATAAATGTCTAGAAGTGGAATTGCTGCACCAAAGGGATAGCATATGTTTTAGACTTTTGATGTGTACTGCCAATTTCCCTCCCGGAGGCTGTGCTAATTTACATTCCCACCAACAGTGCATGTTTCTCCAAACTCTGGCCTATTGTGGGTATTATTATACTTTTCATTTCTTTAAATATGATAAGTTTTTAAATATACATTTGTCTCTGTATCTTGGTTTAATTTAGGGTGTATTTTCATTACCTTCGGCTCAGAGATTTGTTAAGGTTTTGTTGTACTGCCACCTGGTGGTAAAGACTAGAATTGCAGGTATAGTATTTGAAATCACTCACCTTTATTAGGTGATTTTGACCCAGGGTCAGAAAATAATCTTGGAGTTAGGAATTGTGAGCTCAGAACATTGTGAGTTAAAGGTGAGGCCTGCAGTAGATCCCTGGCATTGCATCCTTGCATTTGGAGGACAAGAATCAGTCAGTATGTGATTAAAATAGTGTTGTCATCTCTTTTGTTGGGGAAGAGAGTACCAGTACTGGAGATTGAAGTTAGAACCTGAGTACTGTCACTTAGTTTTTTCACTCAAGTCTGGCCATCTATTCATTGAGACACAGCTCCACTTCTGGATTTTCGGTGGTTAATGGTAGATGTCTGTCACCCTCAAACTCACCCTGAACCTCAGACTAATCCTAACCCTAACCCTAATCCTAACCCTAACCCTCACCCTAACACTAACACTAAACCTAACCCTAACCCTCACCCCCACCCTAACCCTAACACTCACCCTAACCCTCACTGTCACCCTAACCCTCACCCTAACCCTAACCCTACCCCTCACCCTAACCCCAACCCTAACCCTAAAACTCACCCTAACCCATGATCCTCAGGTATCTGACTCCTGAGTAGCTAGGATTACAGGCATGAGCCATCTGTGCCCAAATGCCATCTCTTAAAAAAGAGACTTGGCTGTGTTCAACAAATCTACATGGTGTCACATCCTGGATTAGGCCCTGTCTCAGTCTCCAGAGAGCTGTGTGGGAAAGGACAATTTTCCATGGGATAGAAGGATGGAATGAGCAGGTACACAATGTGACTTCTAGAAAGTATCTGATTTACCACAACCTTGTCCTCTAAAAAGACTCTCTGTCATTGTGTGTCCTGTAGGGCTTAACCTTGTCTCCACCTTGAGGTTTTTGGAGTTTTTTTTAATCAGTCATGGGGCTTGAATTCTGGACCTTGGCACTGTTTCTGAGCACTTTTGCCCAAGGCTAGCACTCTACCAACTGAGCTACAGCACCTCTTCCAGCTTTTCTGTAACTAATTGGAGATAAGAGTCTCCCAGGGACTTTTCTGCCTGGGCTGGCTTTGAACCACAATCCTTACAACCCAGGGCCTGGCTACCACTTTAAGTTTTGCACTGAAAACTAGACTTTCTCATCTGCTGTTGACTACATGAGAAGCCTCACTTTCTAGTCTTCAGTATGTGGGGGTTCTAGACCCTTCGGGTTGAGCCTTCTGGTTTGACACCTTCAGAAATCAGTGTCATCATTTCTTGAAGACAATGGTAGAGTGAGGGACTGTATGGGGAGCGGATGCTCGGGTAGAGTTTGGAATAAATCGCCCAGAGGCTGGAGGTGACCTGGGCGCTGCAATGGAAGAAGAGAAAGGATCCCAAATGGAGAAATGGCAAGGAAGAATACTGTTCATGAAGTTGAAGCAAGATGTGTGCATCTAGGATGCACTCAAGGCTAGGTTGGCAAAAGCCAGTGCACAAGTGGCAGAGAAATAGCAGAAGGTGAAAGGAAAGTGGTGGCCAGGGCTTGATGGAGTAGAACCACGTAGGACACAAGGAGAAGTTCCTGGGGCAGGATGAGGGATTGGGGAGGTGGGGGAATGTAGTGGTTTGGGACACAACTGAACTTGATCTATATCTGTAGAAAACACTTGCCCCAGACACAGCAGCCAAGGGTTTGAAGTCCTGCCTCCCCACCAAAAGAAAAGCTTCCTTTGAGGACAGAGAGGGAAAAGCTGCCAACTTACCCCACAAGATGCCCGGGAGCAAAGGCAAAGATTAGGGGCTGGGTCTCAGCCTTGATTGACAGATGAGGAACGCAAGCCATGAATGAGGGTGATGAGACTTAGCTGGCAGAGAGTCCACACACATGCCAAAGCCTAGATTAGCACCCAGGCTGCAGGATGCCATCCCACGACACCAGCCAGCCTGCCCATCAGGAGTGGGCCC